ATTTCCTGAGACTCTGGCTCATGACTCGGCTGAAGACCTGGTGGCTGCCTGGGATAGTGCGGCTGCCAGGCCTTTGGACTGCGTCGTGCCTTTGCGGCCTCTGACCCGGCACCGAACTCACCTAGCTCCTTGGTTCTCCGAGGAGCTGAGGGAGATGAAGCACTGGAAAAGACGCTTGGAGAGTAGTTGGAGGACCAGCTGCTCCGAATCCGACCGAACACTGGTGAGGTCTCATATTAAGACCTACCTAGTGGCGATAAAAGTGGCAAAATCCAGCTATTTTGCCGCTCTTATCGCGTCATCAGATAATCGCCTGTTTAGGGTGACCCGCTCCCTCCCTCCTCCATCTGGAAGCGCGGGATGATCCCTTGCAGGGTCGAGCTGAGGATTTTGTGCAGTATCTGTATGACAAGATCACTCAGATTCGGGAAGGCCTGGCCTCTGACTGGGTAAGTCCGGATGGGATGACTAAGGCAGGTCTTGAGAGTGTTATCTGGGAGGAGTTTGATCCTGTGGCTCCCAAGGACGTGGACAGGATCCTGGGACGGCTGAATGTGACCACATGTTTATTGGACCCATGTCCCTTCTGGTTGGTACTGGCTTCCCGGAAGGTTACACGAGGCTGGCTCCAGAGGATTGTTAACGCTTCTCTGAGTGAGTGGGTCCTGCCGGCCGCTTTGAAAGAAGCGGTGGTGAGGCCCCTCCTCAAGAAGCCCCCTCTGGATCCGGCTGTTTTGGCTAACTATCGTCCAGTCTCCAACCTTCGCTTCGTTGCGAAGGTTGTTGAGAGTGTGGTGGCGCGGCAGCTTCCCCAGTACCTGGATGAAGCTGTCTATTCAGACCCGCTCCAGTCCGGCTTCCGGCCTGGGCACAGCAGGGAAACGGCATTGGTCGCGTTGGTGGATGATCTCTGGAGGGCTCGGGATAGGGGTTGTTCCTCTATCCTGGTCCTGTTAGATCTCTCAGCGGCTTTTGATACCATCGACCATGGTATCATGTTGCACCGGTTGAAGGGGCTGGGGGGCACCATTTTGCGGTGGTTCTCCTCCTACCTCTCTGACCGGTCACAATCTGTGTTGACAGGGGGGCAGCAGTCGACCCCGAGGTGCCTTGCTTGTGGGGTGCCACAAGGGTCAGTCCTCTCGCCCCTTTTGTTCAATATTTATGTAAAGCCATTGGGTGAGATCATCCGTGGCTTTGGGGTGGAGTTCCATCAGTACACTGACACTCAGCTGTACATCTCCACCCCAGGCCACCCCAACGATGCCCTTGAAGTGATGTCCCAGTGCCTGGAGGCCGTGCGGGCCTGGATGGGTAGAAACAGGCTCCGACTCAACCCTTCCAAGACCGAGTGGCTGTGGCTTCCGGCGTCCCAATATAGCCAGCTAGTGCCATCGCTGGCTATTGGGGGCGAATCACTGGCCCCCACGGAGAGGGCTCGCAACTTAGGCATCCTCCTGGATGCACGGCTGTCTTTAGAAGAGCATATGACAGCCGTGGCCAGGGGGGCTTTTTATCAGGTTCGCCTGATACGCCAGTTGCGCCCCTTTCTGGATCGGGACTCCCTACGCACGGTCACTCAAGCACTCGTCACTTCCCGCCTGGACTACTGCAATGCTCTCTACATGGGGCTCCCCTTGGGGTGCACCCGGAGGCTGCAGTTAGTCCAGAATGAGGCCGCGCGGGGGATTATGGGAGCGACGGGGCGCTCACATATGACACCTCTCCTGCGCGAGCTGCACTGGCTTCCTGTGGTCTTCCAAGTGCGCTTCAAGGTGTTGGTGACCATCTTTAAAACGCTCCATGGCTTAGGGCCGGGGTATCTGCGAGACCGCCTTCTGCTGCCAATAGCCTCCCACCGACCGGTTCGCTCCCACAGAGAGGGCCTCCTTAGGGTGCTGTCGGCCAGACAATGCCGGCTGGCGACCACCAGGGGGAGAGCCTTCTCTGTGGCAGCACCTGCCCTCTGGAATGACCTACCCCCTGAGATACGCACGATATCAGACCTCCGGACTTTTCGTCGGGCCCTGAAAACATACTTATTCCATCTAGCCGGGCTGGCTTGATCCCATCCTCTCAGCTTTAATTGAATTTGGTTTTAATTGGGTTGTTTTAAATTTTGGGCCGAAATTATTTAATTGTTTTTAAACTGTTTTTAAATTTTATATGCTGTTTTATCTCAGCTGTACACCGCCCTGAGTCCCGCAGGAGAAGGGTGGTATAAAAATAAAATAAAATAAAATAAAATAAATAAATAAATTTAATCAAGTGGAAGGGTTACCCCTTATCAGAGGCATGTTGGGTAAAGAGTCGAAACATCCCGGCTGATCGCCAAATTTCACGCGGAAAATCCAAACAAGCCAGGTGGAGGGGTCATGTCCCTAATCTCTACATCTGTACTCAAATTGTTTTGCTTTGCGCAGGTCGCCCTTCGGAAGTGAGGAGAGCCGAATGTCAACTTGCAAAGCTTTTAAGTTGCCATGAGCAGGAGGGAGGGAGAACTGATAGAGCTGATTGATTTCCCTAACTGAAGCTACATTCCATATATGATTCCTTTCCGCAATCAGAAGAAGGGTGTTGGATTTCACAGCCAGCCAAAGTGGTTAATTGGAAAATGTGATTTATGACATGGGCCAGGGAAGAGGAGAGCGACAGGGTCATAGGAGAACGTAAATCTATGTGGGATTAGTTCTAACTGCATCCGAATATTGCTGAAATGGTGCTCCTAATAAATGACTGTATTTCTTTTGAAGTTTGGCTCATGGCTCATGAATTAATTAGGGCATCTTTCGGAAACTTCACACAATACTCCCACAATGGGAGAAAGATAGTTCTTTAGATAACAGATATGAATTGCATCTGGGGGCCAGCTGGTAGTTAATGCAGCTAATGCAGTAGTGATGACACATGAGGAGAATGAAAAGTACCTACTACTGCTTACACCATTTCGAACAATTGCTGCCCCTGGACAGATTCATGAAGAGTGCATTGCAGTAACCAGATGGCTTTGAGTTAACCAGAGCAGAATTAACCATCTGCAGGGCCTCTTAGTTGAGAAAGAGTGCAACTAGTACACAAGAAGCAGCATTTGTGAGTCGAGCAGGACCCCTAGGTTGTGCCCAAATCTCAAATTGGGAAGTGCAAATTTAGCTGCAGTTCAAAACATTAGCTGACTATGTTACAAAGTATTAGTTTTAACCAATATCAAAGCTTTATGTCTGGTGCTAGAATTGCAATTTGGGAACAATAGACAGTTCAACCTCAGCAAGACTGAGTGGCTTTGGAGGATCCAGGAAATTACCATCTCTGGGGCTGGATAAAATGGTACTGCCCCAGCCGATCTTATGTACAATCTGAAGGTCCTTTTGGACTCATGATTCCTGTTCAATGCACAGGTGACAAGTAGCTCAAAGGGCCTTTGCTCAACTTTGGGTTGCATACCAGTTCACCTGTTTCTGGATCAGGAGACTCTGCTGTAATCTTGGTCACTCTTTTTCTCATCACCTCCTGAATGTACTCTCTATGGGGCTGTCCTTGAAGAGTAAATTTTAACTGGTACAAAATGTGATGGCCCAGGCAGTTATGTGCACTCCCAGATCAGAACAACCTATATCTATACTCTGAACTGCATTGGTTGCTAGTTTGCTTTGGGATTCAATTCAAGGTGTTGATAATGGCCATTAAAGCCCCACATGGCAGATTATTTGAGGGGCAGATTTTCTCTAGTTATCTATCTGCCTTCTAAGATCTAGAGGAAGGGGCAGGTTGTGATCCCATTTGCTAAGAACATTCATTTGTTAGTTGCCAAGAGGACAAGCTTTGCTATCTACTCTTTGGAATATAATTTCCTCCAAGGTGAGATTGGCTCTGACTACTGATCTAGTCGTCTAGTAGATTAGTGATCTAGTAATTCTAGGGGACGCCATGGCTCAGTGGCTAAAACACTGAGCTTGTTGATTGAAAGGTCGGCAGTTCAGCGGTTCGAAACCCTAGTGCCGCATAATGGGGTAAGCTCCTGTTACTTGTCCCAACTTCTGCCAACCTAACAGTTCAAAAGCATGTAAAAAATGCAAGTAGAAAAATAGAGACCACCTTTGGGAAGGTAACAACGTTCCGTGTGCCTCTGGCATTTAGTCATGCTGGCCACATGACCACGGAGACATCTTCTGACGGCACTGGCTCTTCTGGCTTTTAAACAGAGATGAGCATCGCCCCCTAGAGTCGGGAACTATTAGCACATATATGCGAGGGGAACCTTTATCTTTACCTTACTGATCTTTCAGAAATCATTTAAATCTGATTCTGTCATTGGAATGGGATCTTACGGAATTGCCTGTTTTCACAAATTGTTTTATGATTTAATGATTTAATTAGTTGTAAGTATGTTTGCTGTTATTGTTATGGTTACTTAGTTGTATTTTGTTTCTTATTATTTTTGTAACTATGTGAGTCTCCCAGAGCCGTATATGGCTATGCTGTATAAATTGAACAAATAAAATCGCACACGGACTGCAAGTCACATTCTTTGTCTACGAGGAGCAAATAAATACATATGCATATACAGATGTGTTTTCAAAATAATAACAAAAAATACTTGTTTTATGACGGGGTATATTCAGTAGAATCTGATTCTTGATTTCTTGAATCAAAAAGAAATCAAGAAAGAGGCTTAAAAGGAGTCCTTTCAATCCCTAATCCCCATTTCCCAGCCTTTTACCTGGACACCATGCATGATGTAAACCTTTTCCGCCTCGCTCAGGACCACCGATGCCATAATAATTAGTCCTAAACGCAGACTCCTTCTTCTCCAACACCAAAACCTCTTATCCGATTGTCAAAAAAGGCGCCTGACACCACCATAGAATTCTGTTAGCCTCGCGCCTTCGCAGCGCCTTCTGATTACGTCACTCTCCTTTGGCCTCTCCGTCGCTACTTTTTTGTTTCTTCTGTTTTTGTTACGAATGCGTGGAGAAATGGCATCCCCGCCTATTCTCACTGGATGACTAGTTCCTTGCTCATACGTCACGGATGGCGAGGGAAGCTCAACCCCGGGATTTCCTATCTTCAGTACAATTCTTTTCTGGAGAAGTGGGACGGTGCTTCTGCTAGACCGAAAGAAAATGTCCAAGGCATTCTTCCCGATCGTAGGTATGTTTAATTAGATACAAATCCAGCTGATCGCGTCAGATAAATGTACCCTGGTCTATGGTTTTATTCGCGAGTATACTATGGCTAAATTTATGAGTAGATTTCTGTGCAAATAAAATAGACTGAAGGTGATGCATAATATCCCGAATACAATCGTTTTCAGAATTTGAAATTTTAAACATAATAGTTGCAATGCGGAAGCAATAAATCTCATATACGCTCTACACCATCCGGCTTTTTGAATGATGCTCAGTATTGAATATTAATTCAGAATATGAAAAAGATGTTCATAATAATGGACAAAGGCACCTGGTTTCTTTTCCATACTCTTATGTATATCTTAAAATATTAATGGAAATGCTGTCTGTCTTTTGATCAATCAAAGCCATATTAAAGTTTCTAATTTTTTGTCTTCGCAGAAAAAGCTATCTATGTAATCCTAAATGTTTTAGGAAAAAGCTTTCATAGATTATAATTTATTTAGTTAAAAGCGTGGAATACTGACCTTAGAAGGATATATTACATTCATGGTTATGGGTCCACAATTTATAGATAATCAGTGTAAGACAATCTTGTCTCTCTCACCCAAGATTAGATAGACAAACATGTCTGTTTCTGTTATCACAGTCAGTTCTTAAAATGCCTTTCCTCAGCTTAAAAGAATTACAGTATTTGAGGTAAAATAACTATAGTGTTGCTCCTTTCAGTAACTATATAATAATAATAATAATAATAATAATAATAATTTTATTTCTATACCGCCCTTCTCCCGAAGGACTCAGGGCGGTGTACAGCCTGTTTAAAAACACAAACAAAACAACAATATAAAATTTAAAATAATTAAATAAAGTGGCTCAGATTTAAAACCCCAATATATTTAAATATCCCAATTTAAAAACTATTGTGTTGCTAGTCCGGCCTGGCGGAATAATAGGGTCTTCAGTGCGCAGCGAAACGCCCGGAGGTCGGAGATCTTACGAATTTCCGGGGGCAGTTCGTTCCACAGGGCTGGGGCTCCCACAGAGAAGGCCCTCCCCCTGGGCGTCGCCAGTCGACATAACTTGGTTGACGGCACCCTGAGGAGACCCTCTCTGTGGGAACGGACTGGTCAGTGGGAGGCTATTGGTGGCAGAAGACGGTCTCGGAGGTACCCGGGTCCTATGCCATGGAGTGCTTTAAAGGTGGTAACTAACACCTTGAATCGCACCCGGAAGACCACTGGGAGCCAGTGCAGCTCGCGCAGGAGGGGTGTCACATGGGCACAACGAGTTGCGCCCATAACCACCCGCGCGGCCGCATTCTGGACCAGTTGGAGCCTCCGAGTGCTCTTCAAGGGGAGCCCCATGTAGAGAGCATTACAATAGTCCAACCGGGAAGTAACAAGGGCATGAGTGACCGTGCGTAGGGCGTCCCGATCCAGAAAGGGCTGCAACTGGTGAATCAGGCGAACCTGATAAAAGGCCCCCCTGGCCACGGCCGTCATATGCTCTTCTAAAGACAGCCAAAGTGCATCCAGAAGGACACCCAGATTGCGAGCCCTCTCTGTGGGGGGCAGAGATTCACCCCCAATAGTTAGCGATGGCACCTGCTGACTATATCGGGGCGCCGGAAGCCACAGCCACTCGGTCTTGGAGGGGTTGAGTCTGAGCAAGTTCTTCCCCATCCAGACCCGCACGGCCTCCAGGCAGCGAGACATCACATCAAGGGCATCGTTGGGGTGGTCTGGGGTGGAGATGTACAGCTGAGTATCATCAGCGTACAGATGGCACTTCACCCCAAAACCACGGATGATCTCACCCAGCGGCTTCACATAAATATTGAACAGGAGGGGCGAGAGGACTGACCCTTGCGGCACCCCCCATGTGAGACGCCTCGAGGTCGACCTCTGTCCCCCTGCCAACACAAACTGCGAGCGGTCGGAGAGGAAGGAGGAGAACCACCGCAAAACGGTGCCCCCTATTCCTAACCCCCCTCAACCGCTGCAGCATGATACCATGGTCGATGGTATCAAAAGCCGCTGAGAGATCTAATAGGACTAGGACAGAGGAGCAACCCCTGTCCCGAGCCCTCCAGAGATCATCCACCAACGCGACCAATGCCGTTTCTGTGCTGTACCCCCGCCTGAAGCCCGACTGGTACGGGTCTAGATAGATAGCTTCATCCAGGTGTCGGGAAAGTTGTCGTGCCACCACGCTCTCAACAACCTTCGTCACAAAACGAAGGTTGGAGACTGGACGATAGTTAGCTAATTCAGCCGGGTCTAGGGAAGGCTTCTTGAGGAGGGGCCTCACCACCGCCTCTTTCAAGGCGGCAGGAAAGGCACCCTCACTCAGAGAAGCACCTATAATCCCCTGGAGCCAGCCTCGTGTAACCTCCCGGGAGGCCAGTACCAACCAGGAGGGGCACGGGTCCAATAAACACGTGGCGGCACTAATCTTACCCAGAACTCTGTCCACATCCTCGGGAGTCACAGGATCAAACTCCTCCCAGATAACATTCTCAAGACCTGCCCCGGTCTCCTCCCGTGGACTCATCCAATCGGAGTTCAAGCCATCCCGAATCCGAGCGACTTTATCATGCAGGAATTGCACAAAATCCTCAGCACGACCCTGCAAGGGATCTTCCCGTACTCCCCCCCGAAGAAGGGAGTGGGTCACCCTAAACAGGGCAGCTGGGCGGTTCTCTGCAGATGCGATAAGAGCGGAAAAATGGTTAGATTTTGCCGCTTTTATCGCCACTAGGTAGGTCTATATAATAAATATAATAAGGCTATTCTTTTAACTAAACCTATATAGAGATTTATTTCAATAGAATTTTCCCATATATATGCTATAGAGTTCCTGACCTGAATTGCAAATTGGAATTAAAAACTTACAATGTTTGGGTAATGGAGGAAGTCATTTTGGGAACTGTATGTGTAATGCTGTATATATTCTTGTTTTGGATTTTTTTTCTGGAGTTAACATTCCTGCAACAGTATCAGTAGAATGGTAACACCCAGGTTTATTTATATTAGTCTATGGTGACAAAATATCAGGAGTCTGCTGGCGTATTTTGTTAATAACAAATTTTATTAAAAGGACATATTTTCGTGAGCTGCAGCTCACTTCATGAGATGCATAAATGAAATGAAAAGATGTGTCCTTTAATAAAAATGGTTAGTCAAAAAAGTGCCAGCAAACTCCTAATTTTTGACACCTAGATCTGTTTCCCATTTATCTTTAAATGTACCAATTTTGAATAAATTATTGTATCCTTTAAAAAAATAGTTTGCTGGTTCATTTTATTCTCTTGATTTCTGAATAACTTGTGGGGCCATTAGGATTTACATACCATTGCTAAGCACAATATACTATATTACTGTTGTGACTCCAAATTTGACTATTAAAATGTATTATTTTGGCTGCTGAAGCAATCAGAACCTACAGCTAACTCTAGTGCAAAATATACTAAAAATGAAACTGATTAACCTCTTAAAGTTAGTAAGTATTGCTCTGTAGCTTAATTCCTGCTTCTTTATTATGCAGCCTTTATATTAAGATTGTGTTGCTTTTTTGTCACTTTAGGATCTTTTTGAATTTATTTTTAATCAGATTATTATAATGGTATAATTTTCTTGGACTGTACATTTTATGGTTTGGAATTTTTTAAAATGATCGATAGTATAAAAACAAACTCAATAAAATTAAAGCAACACTGGAAAATATATAATAGTGTGCATATTTACTATGGCAGATAGTCCTCAACATACGATCACATACAATTAAGCCTAAAATTTCCATTGCTAAGCAAGACAGTTAAGTGAGTTTTGCCCCATTTTATGACCTTTCTTGCGGTAGCTTTTAAGTGAATCACTGCAGTTATTAAATTAGTAACACAACTGTTAAGTGAATCTGGCTTCCCCATTTATTTTGCTTGTCAGAAGGTCACAAAAGGTGATCACAGAACCCCAGGACATTGCAACTGTCATAAATACATGCTAGTTGCCAAGTGTCCAAATTTTAATCACGTGACCATGAGGATGCTGCAAGGGTCATAAGTGTGAAAAACATCATAAGTCATGTTTTGTAGTGCCGTTGTAACTTCAAATGATCACTAAACATATGGTTGTAAGTTGAGGATAACTTGTAGTGTATTTTTAGTATTCTAAGATGGCCTAGGCCCTAAGACATGCTGCTCTCTTAGGCCATCTCAGACCACTACAGTATTAATGACTAATTGTTTCATTAATTAATCAATTAATAATTATTAATAATGATTTATTAATCAGTAAATATTCTTATCAGCAAATAGAACTCTGTCCCTCACTTCCACATATCAAGATGTATTATACTACAAACTACACAAATTATTTTTGGCATCTGAAGAAGTTTAATTCTAGGCTTTGATAGTAACAATACAGCGTACTAAATATTGCAATAGTTGATATTTAAGTATTTCCAGTATTTTAAAATTTTGTCCTTTTTAATGATACCTAAGATATTTCCTCCTCTGTGCATCAGTAAAATCTTTGACTGTACTGAATGTTCTTTGCCCCAATCGTATTAATCATTAAGTTCAACTGAAACGAATGGCATTTTCTGCTAAGTATGTACATTAAGGATAACTGATAATAAACGTTGGAGGCTTTGTGTGCGCATTTGTGTTCCTTACACTTTCTGTATGCAAAGGAAGGAACTCAGGCCAACTTAGAGTATAGTACTTTAATTCAATCAATAGCCCTATTCAATGAGCGCAATGCTAATTACTGGAAGATGTGACACCAACAATGCAGCTGCCGCAGGAATGACCGGCATGCCTCCTTCGAGACGGTCTGTCCCCTCGGTGGGAGGGAGGCGTTCCGGTTCTGGGGAAGCGGAGGGCGAGGGCGTGGCAATTTCGGCGTTACTCACTTCCTGGTTTCTCCTTTTTCTTTCGCAGCACGAATGGGGAAGCTGCGAAAGGAATGGGGTATGCTTTAGCCTTATCTCTCAGCAAGGAACTCCGGGCTGGGCGCTGAATCGCTGGTTTTCCCGTCTACTGGCAGGCGAATGGAACACTCTGCTGGTCTGAGCGGTGGAAAGTCGAGCGGGCCGCTGGCAGAGCGGGGGGGGGCGGCAGCAGCGGCGAGCGTGTTGCTTCATCTTCAGCCTGGGTAAGTTAAAGAGAGGAGGAGTTCGTCCAGTAGGAAATGTTTCCATTCCGAGGATTTTGAGCTCTCGCTGGGAAAAGCGGTAGGTGGGCTTCAAGAGACAGCGTTGAGGAAAGATCGGCAAAGATCGGTTGCCGTTTCTGCAATCCAGAACATGCGACGGGAGTCATGTAGGTGGATATGCTCTTCGTGCGCCTGAGTGAGAAACAACTAGAGTGAGTCAAGGAAGCTCATAATTTGGGCTCTGGTTGGGTAAGCGGGTATGGATTTGACAAGGTAAAAGACAGTAACATGGAGTATCAAGAGAGGGCCCAACCAGGTTTTTATAGCACTATTGGGACTCTAATCATGTTTCGCTATCTGATGCAGCAGCTCCTTTTCTTTAGGATTTGAATGCTTTGAATCCAAAATCCAAAGATATACGCTTCTGGGCTGCCAAATTGTGTTTCCTTTTCCAATACATGCTGCCAGATTGGAAGATTTGGGAGTGAATTGATGGTGTGGTCTTCACTATAGATATAAAGATTCCTGTAGTTGTTATCCATCAAAGCCTTTTTATGAGCTCATATCTTTTATCAGCGGCCAAGAATCTTACATGATTATGATGGGATATAACTTTGATAATTAAATAGAATATTTCATTATTCCTAGGGATGGATTGGCATTTTTATCAATTTATATTTTATAGTAGTTTTGTTAAACATAATTAAAAAGATAAAAACATAACTAAAAAAAGAATAAAAAGAAAAAATAGAAAGTATAGGAAAGAAAGAAAAAATAACAATATAGTAAGGAAAAATATTTTAAAAACATTTTCTTCTCCATCATAATGTATAAACAATTATAGTTACCTTTTTAAAGAATACAACAAGTAATTTCTTCTTCCCATAGCTCATATTTTATCTATCATCAACTCCTTAAAACTTCATCATTTAGTCCTGATCACCAAAAGTTCATTAAGGGTTCCAGAGATAATATCTGTTTTAGTCCTGATCAAATAAAGCAATTTTTAATTCTTTTTATTTTAACTATCTTGTTCTTTGATTCTTTTGAATAATGTTCTAGAATTTTATTTCTTTTAAGTTTTCTTGTCCCTTTTCACAAATTTTCCCTTTCTTTTTGTTTTTTGAAGTCAGGATGTTTTTATAAGTATTTTGAATACAACTTGTTGTCCGGGCATTTCATTTTACAGCAGAAAAAAAAAGATATACTAATAATAATAATACATGTAATAATTATAACCATATTTATAATTATATTAGCTTAATGATTAATGATATTAATTCTATTAACATACTTATAAAGCAATATTCCTATTTTACTTACACATAGCAATGCTCTTTCTTCATCTAATTTCTACCTCTTATCTCTAACCATTGATAAAACCATGTTAAATAATACTCTTATCTCCTTTATCTTTTAGTTTTAGTGTCAATCTATCCATCTCTGCACAATCCAGTATTTTCTGAATTATATTTTCATGTGGTCGTGTGTTCTCATTTTTCCAATATTGTGCAAATACAATTCTCGCTGCTGTAAATACATGTAGCATTAAATGTATAGTCCCTTTATCATAACTTTCTGGTATTATACCTAACAAAAATATTTCTGGCTTTAAGTCTATATATGGTTTAGTCATCTTTTCCAGCCATGTGTATATTTTCATCTGATATTTTCTTGCTTTCATACATGTCCACCACATATGATAATAGGTACCTGGAGTCTGATTACATTTCCAACATTTGGCAGACACGTTGTTAAACATTTTTGCTAATCTTGCTGGTGACAGATGCCACCTATAAAACATTTTATAAAGATTTTCCTTATACAGTAGAACCTCTGGTCACGACCATAATTTGTTCCATAACTGGTCACAAACTGATTTTGTTGTAACCCGAACCTAATTTTGGAAATTTGACACTTACAAAAAAAATGGCACGGAAGGGGAAATTGGCCAGGAAAAAAAACTGAATTTTTTGGTCGGAACCTGATTTGGTCATGGTCAGAAGCATTTGTGACCAGAGGTTCTACTGTACGCAGTGGCCATTGTCAATTTATAGTTTCTATCCCAAGTTTTTGCCATTTATCTAGTTCTATAGCAGTGGTTCTCAACCTTCCTAATGCTGCGACCCTTTAATACAGTTCCTCATGTTGTGGTGACCCCCAACCAGGGATGGGTTCTTAATTTTTTTATTACCGGTTCTGTGGGCGTGGCTTGGAGGTCATGTGACTGGATGGGCATGGCTAGCTGGTCATGTGACCAGGTGGCCATGGCTATGTGTATAGGGACTACTCAGAGGGCTGAAAAAAGTCATTTCTGACAGGTCCTCGCACTTTTGACTGGTCCTCACACTTATGACCAACCTCACATTTGTGCCCGTGCAGCATTCTTAACAACCATGTCACTCATTTCACAATTGCTTCTTTTCACCATGGTGATAAGATAGGGCAAAAAACATAAAATGTGAGGATAGTCGTAAATTCGAGATCTGGTCAAAAGTGCGAGGACCAGTCAAAAATAACTTTTTCAGCCCTCTGAGTAGTCCATATGCATAAAAGGATGCAGCAATAGAGAGGGATGAAGGAAGGGAAGGGAAATTAGAGTAGGAGTGAGGGTAAGAGAGGGAGGAAGAGAGGAGGAGAAGGAGAAAGGAAGAGAAAGTAAGAAGGAAAGAAAAGAGAGAGATGGTAGGTTTGAGGAGAAAGATTGCTGTACAATAAAAAAGATGAAAGGAAAAAAGCCAACCCCAAACAAATATAAAGATATTAAGATAAAGAATGAATTGTTAAACTTTAAAGAATAAAAGAGAACAAATATGAATAAATAGCAATAATTAGAAACACACATACAAACATACAATATATTTTCTTTTGTAGGAAGTTAGTACCCACCCCTTTCTTGGAAGAGTGAAATATTTTAGGAAATATGAAAAAGGCAGAATATTATATTTCCTTGGGATAAGCATGTTTTTTTATTTATTTATTTATTTGTTTGTTTGTTTATTTATTTGTTTATTTGTTTATTTATTTATTATATTTCTATACCGCCTTTCTCCCATAGGACTCAAGGCGGTGTACAGACAAGAAAAATATAGACACACAAACATCATAAAATTGCTAATTAAAATTGTTACTTAGTTTGGTCGATTAAATAAAACCCAGAATTAGATAACATTTAAAAAATCATTCGCATGTTTGTATGTTTAGTCCTGCCTGTTGGAACATCAGGGTCTTGAGGGCACGGCGGAAAGCACGGAGATCAGGGATATTCCGTATCTCCGGGGGCAGTTCATTCCAAAGGGTTGGAGCCCCCACAGAGAAGGCCCTCCCCCTGGGAGTCGCCAGTCGACATAAGTTGACTGACGGTACCCTGAGTAGTCCCTCCCTGTGAGAACGAACTGGTCGGTGGGAAGCTATTGGTGGCAAAAGACGGTCTCGTAGGTACCCAGGTCCTAAGCCATGGAGCGCTTTAAAGGTGATAACTAACACCTTGAATCGCACCCGGAAGACCACCGGGAGCCAGTGCAGCTCGCGTAGGAGAGGTGTTACATGGGCGTAACGAGCTGCACCCATAATCACCCGCGCGGCTACGTTCTGGACCAGTTGGAGCCTCCGGGTGCTTTTCAAGGGGAGCCCCATGTAGAGAGCATTACAGTAGTCCATACGGGAGGTAACTAGGGCATGAGTGACCGTGCGCAAGGCGTCCCGATCCAGAAAGGGACGCAACTGGTGGATCAGGCGAACCTGATAAAAGGCACCCCTGGCCACGGCCGTCAAATGATCTTCTAAAGATAACCGTGAATCCAGGAGGACACCCAAGTTGCGGGCCCTCTCTGTGGGGAGCAAGATCTCATCCCCTATTGTCAGTGATGGTACCAGCTGACTATACCGGGACGCCGGAAGCCACAGCCACTCGGTCTTGGAGGGGTTGAGTCTGAGCTTGTTTCTCCCCATCCAGATCCGCACGGCCTCCAGGCAACGGGACATCACAGCAAGGGCATCATTGGGGTGGTCTGGGGTGGAGATGTATAGTTGTGTGTCATCAGCATACTGATGAACACTCACCCCAAAACCACGGATGATCTCACCTAGCGGTTTTACATAAATGTTGAACAGAAGGGGTGAGAGGACTGACCCTTGCGGCACCCCACAAATAAGGTGCCTCGAGGTCGACCTCTGTCCCCCTGCCAACCCAAACTGCGAACGGTCAGAGAGGAAGGAGGAGAACCACCGAAGCACGGTGCCCCCTATTCCTAACCTCTCCAGCTGGTGCAGTAAGATACCATGGTCGATGGTATCAAAAGCCGCTGAGAGATCCAATAGGACCAGGATAGAGGAGCAACCTCTGTCCCGAGCCCTCCAGAGATCATCCACCAATGTGACCAGTGCCGTTTCTGTGCTGTATCATGACCTGAAGCCCGACTGGAACGGATCCAGATAGACAACTTCATCCAGGTATCGGGGTAGTTGTCGCGCCACCACACTCTCAACAACCTTCGCAACAAAGCGAAGATTGGAGACTGGACGATAATTTGATAATATAGCTGGGTCCAGGGAAGGCTTCTTGAGGAGGGGCTTCACAACCGCCTCTTTCAAGGCGGCGGGAAAGACACCCTCACTCAGAGAAGCATTTATAATCCCCTGGAGCCAGCCTCGTGTAACCTCCCGGGAGGCCGGTACCAACCAGGAGGGACACGGGTCCAATAAAATGTGGCAGCGTTAAGCTTGCCCAGAATCCTGTCCACGTCCTCAGGAGCCATAGAGTCAAACTCTTCCCAGATAACGCTCTCAAGACCTGCCCCCGTCTCCTCCCCTGGATCTACCCAATCGGAGTCCAGGCCTTCCCGAATCTGAGCGACTTTATCATGCAGGAATTGTACAAAATCCTCAGCTCGACCCTGCAAGGGATCTTCCCGTACCCCCACCTGAAGTAGGGAGCGGGTCACCCTAAACAGCGCAGCTGGGCGGTTCTCTGCAGATGAAATAAGAGCGGAGAAGTAGCT